CGACATACAGCCGCCTGACGCCTTTCTACCAATGGGATCACCAATTTTTTATAACAGAAAAATGGATTACTGATGAATTATTATTCATTGCTTACAAGTTGACAGCCAGTAAAACATTGCATTGATCTAATACTTGTACGTTTTAAAGAACCATTTTGCTTTAGCCAGCCATACGACTCAAATAAAATTATATTTTAAAAGGCACCGATTTTGATAATTGTCATAGATTTTTGTTCCAAATAAATGTTTCTCTTTATTTACCTTTTCGTTTTATTCACTACCCCCAATAGGTTTTACTCAAATTTACACTAGAAGTTTGCACTAAAAGAGTAAAAATACCTTTCTAAAATTAGAACCTTTCCAAAGTAGTATTAATTTACACTGAACAAAAGTAGGATTTTACCCAGGAAGTATAGGAGTACACGATTTTAGGTAAATTAACACTTTTTATTACAGTGTAAAATTACTTTAGCCTCAGTGCTATAGTGTTAAATCATACTTGCTTACTTTGGGAAAATTACACTACAAATTAATTCTAATTGTAGTGTTATAAAACAACACTATTTAGTGTGGACCTGTGTGAACTCTAATTAGTGTTGCTTTGAGTTGATTTTTTTTTACTGTGTACACTGCTCTGGGATATTCCCAAATCTCTAAATAATTCTAGGATTAGCGGCCGTTGCTGCTAATACATTAATTTCATTATTTCCACCTGTGACTGTTGCTCGACGAATTCTTTTTTTCGGTTGAACACTCCCGTTTGTAGTAAACTGCTTGACTGTACGGTGAAATGAAGTACGTAATCGAATTTTATCCGGAAAACGCTGAGCGTAGATATAAACAGCATCATCAAGATTCCTGCCTGCTTTTTTATAAATCAAAATCATTTCTATTTTTTATTCCACTGTTAAAACATCCATTGTGAATAACTGCTTAACGAAAGGAGGTATTTTTGTTTGCAAATTAATCTTCGAAATAAATTGATTAAATAATGCTAATTAAAATAAAACAAAAAAAGAAAACTTTTGCAATAAAATATGGTACAAATAAAATTTAAATTGAACCAAAAACTAACGTTTAATTAAAGTACACAGAATATAGGGATCGTTAGCAATTTTATTATTTGACTTCATTATTATTCTACAAGTATAAAAATGCAATTTAAAATACAACTTTTAATATTATTCATATTCTTTGCTTGACTTTAAACATTAGAGAGTATGTTTCTTTACTCTTTTTACTTAGTGAGGCAGAACTTTGCAATTAGCACTTTAAGTCTATAAAAATGTGAAACCTTCTTTCACTCCCTCAGGAGGAAAATAAATTTAAATTAATGAAAGTAAAGGGGATCAATTATAAATTCATTATGCGGGGAGCTTAGCTCTGAAAAACCTCTAGAGATCAAAAGATATGGAAATAGGGTATTAATTATATCGGCTATAGCGAAAATTCAATAATTAATCAGCGGACTTTTTATGCTGTTTGTTATTTACGTTAAAGCTGTTTTGTATAATTTCCAGAGGAGTGAACTTCAAAAGGCTGCGAAAAAATTTAATTAAATCGCCTTTTCAATACCAAACGTTCTTTATAGCCAAAAAATTACGTGGCGTGAATATTATTTTTCCTTGGATAAGTCTTCAATGTTATTAGTAAACTAATGTACCTATACATATTTTTAGTGATTATTTACTGAAAATTTCGTAAAAATTATGATTTTTTATTTAATACACCCTGTGAATTTATACATGTACAAACCTTTTGTCTTTTTTTATCCAATTCATGTTTTTGTGGTACAGTTACGGAAAATAGTAATGTCCATACAAAAATGTATATATGGTAATAAAATTAACATATTTATTTTTAAACTCAATAATTCTAACTAGCTGCTATTTATCATTCTTTCTACGCACATTTCATTTGACTTTTAAGCTTGTACGAGGTGTGTTCAGAAAATAACGGGAATTGTTAAATTACGCGGGTTCGGAGGGTCCGGTTGTCATAAAATTTTCTTTATTATGTTGGTATACATGCCCCCGAAGTATGATAAAAACTTTAGCTGTTTTCATTGTTTACTTTGTCTGTGGCAGCCGCTAAGGTTAGACGTGTTTTATGAGCTCGGCGATTTTTCGTTCGTTAAAAGAAATGCATCAAAGAATTTGTATCCAATTTTGCTTAAAAAATGAAATAAATTCTGTGAAATGTTAACAAAGGCCTATAGTAAGTCTGCTATAAGTAAAACAAAAGTTTACAAGAGTTTCCAAGATGGCCGTGAAGACGTTGAAGATGACGAACGCCCCGAACGCACAAACACATTAACAACCGATAAAAACATTAAAAAAGTGGAAGGAATGGTTATAAATCATCAGAGAAGTCGCCGATGATGTTGGTATATCGATTGGCTCATCTCATGAAATGTTTTCGAATGTTTTGGGTATGAAACGCGTGGCAGCAAAATTTGTTCTAAAATAGTTAAATTTTGAACAACATTTTTGGCCAAAAACAATACTGTAATGATGCCCCAGCCTCCATATTCGCCAGACATGCCTCTGTCTGACTTTTTCCTATTCCCAAAAATAAAGAGAACCTTAAAGGGCCGTCGTTTTGCAAGCATAGATGACATTAAAAGCGCATCGCTGAAAGTAAAGGCTATCCCAAAGATCGAGTTTTAGAAGTGTTTCGAGTATTGGAAGAAGAGCTGGCACATGTGCATAATATCCAATGGGGACTATTTTGAAGGCGACAACATTAATGTAGACGAATAAATAATTGTTTCAAAAAACGAAAATTCCCGATATTTTCTGAACACACCTCGTATATAAACATTTAATACTAAAATAATTATAAACTTTTTGCATAATTTTGCAAATAAAATTGTTAATAACCCCTTATTGCTAGTTCTCAAGAATGTAAAGTAAGTTTAAAAAATATTTCAAAAGATGAACGAACGATTTAATAAAAATACGGTTAAATATGTAATACACCCAAAATAACTAATTCAATACCAGCAGTAGTAAATTCTAAATATAGACATAGTTGCATTCAAATGGACATTACTATTTTCTGTAACCGTACATATTATGGGACATATTTTTGTCCCGGCGCATCCGCCATTTTTGTAAGTTGTTGTAAAAATGATTTTCAAAAATATAAAATCTGACATCTGTAAAATTAAAATAAAAGTAAAAGTCTACGAAATAATATATTTTTATTAGGAACAATGTTTGGGTTAATTTAAAAATAGGACCTTAAAACAAAAACTCTGGAATATGTAATAACCTTTATTAATATTATTAACAAACAAAATAAATAACAAATCACAAACCTTTTTATATAATAAGGGGAGTAATGATAATACCTTATGTATCACAGCAATTACTTAAGTTATTTTTAATATAAATTACAAAACAAAAAACACTTTCAACATGTATGTATGTTACGATATGAATATTTGATTTGTCAAGATGAGGTAAACAGAGTAATAAAATGAAATAACAATTTTAGTTTAATCATTTATAAAATTAAAAAACATGAACGAATGTTTTCTATATTTATGTAGCGTAACCCAGAAATAAAAGTCTACTGAAGGATTTCATTTAAAAAAAATTGCCAGTAGTATTTAATTCAATTATTACTGGGCCACACTACTTTTTTTAACAATAAGTAAAATTAAGTACCATTTTTAACAACAAAGTTTTTAAAACTTAAAACAATATTATTTAGTGAATATTTTATGAAGTTTTTTTGTTAAAAAAAACGTCAGAAATTATATTAAAACTCCAGTGAAACCTTTTTCGACCAAACAACTTCTGCTTTTTAAAATTTGTTTTTTTAATTAACATTTCGTTTAGCAGACAAATAACATAAAAAACTACACGAGAACTGCTAGTTTTTTGAGGTTTTTCCAATTAATTTTGTATTAGGCCATATCAAACAGGATATGTACGCAATTTTTTCAGCAATTTACAAAGTACCGGCCTAACTAAAATATACTTTGATTTTTTGATTAAAATTTTGAGTTGTTACAAATTAATTTATCGAATTAATTGCTGCCCGTTTTTAGGTTATTTGTATTTCAAATTAGCAGTAAATTAGCTCACAGTTCTGTTAAAATTATTGATTAGTTGCCGGCTCTGTTGTTTTTACATCGTATAAAAAATAATTCATATTGTTTTGTTTTATTTGTTTAGTTAAAGGGAAGTTTATTAAAAACAAGTAAATAGAGAGATTGTTAAATTAATTAAATTTCAAAACATTTTAAATTGGAGATTTTCCTGGATAATTGGATATTTTTTAATATAAACAACAAAATTTATTTTTGTTTAAAAAAACATTCAGGACTGTAACAATATTTATTTATTTAAAACATATTTATAAAAAAATTATTGAAAAATTATTTTACAAAAATGTCTTAATTTTTTATAAATCTTTCCCCGTAATAATTTATTATTTAACAAGCAAACAACCAATCAATATAGGTAATCAGGGGTTTGCACATTTTCTGGTCTTGTATACTCAGGCAATTAATTATGAGTGTTTAAAGAAACTGCGTACATTTAAAAAATGGAAGGGGAAATTTGCGGAGTGATATAAATTTAAATAATGGTAGAAAAAATTCGCAAAGTTGTATACATTTAAGTAATGGTAGCCCAGTGGTATAAATTTAAAAAACAATTAGAAATTTTCTAAAATACAAATTCGCACGGTGGTATGAATTTAAAAAATGGTAGGACAAAAATTTAAGATTTACCAAAACTTTTTAAAATTTTAGATTCTTCAAGTTTGTCAAAATTTTTAATACATTAAAAATATTAAAAATCTTCATAAATTTCAAATTTTTATTGTGTTATTATCAACGTAATGTTTTAATTTTTTTGCAAATGCAAACCCCCAATTTAAAACCTAACCTGCAAAAAATCTGCAATACATTTTCGAAGTTGTCTGTCGTAAAGGCTATATATAAACTTTTAGAATATTTTGTTGCACGTAATATTTCTTCCCTGTCACACCGCACTGCCGCTGTAACTAATCGTGTTGTTCGATCTTTTGCCACTAAACTCCGGCTGGAAAGTTTCGATTTTCACGCACTTTTTACCGTCCCTTCGTTGGTGCTGCAACGTCTTACTTTTACCGCAATACCCACTACTACTGTTCGAACTAGAACTGCCCATCTCTTGCACCCCCAAGATTCCCTGATGAATCGTGGGGTTCACTCCGTGAGGCATTGTCCCGTACTTACACTGAAACAAATAAATGCATTTGACAACATATTTTTTGTTTTTTACAACTATCTAAAAATAATGATATAAAACCTTTTTACTGTAAATAGTATTTTCAATTAAAAATAATAACGTTTGAGTTATAGTAAATATGATTTTTAACTCTTTTTTTAAACTCTTTTTTAACTTTTTTTTTTTACTTTTTTCTTTTCTTTTGAACTCTTTTTTAACATTTATATAATTCTTTTTTTAACTCTTTTTATAACCCTTTTTTACTTTGTTTTTTATCTCTTTTTTTAACTTGAACTATCTATAAATAATGATACTGTAAATAGTTGTTTCAATTAAAAATAATAACGTTTGAGTTATAGGAAATATGAGGCCTGTCAGAGCAAAGTCAACAATCTCCCGTCAGAATAAAACTGAGTAAATTGAGATAATTGATTTTGGTATTTTAAATTCTAGATTTGTAATTTTTTTTATATATTATATTGAAATATTATTGTTGTTAGTCTAGTAGCCAACCACAAGGTCTCCAGGATGCATAGTATAGGTGAAATCTTTAATTATAAATTGGAGATTTCTGACTTTGATATGAATTTCTGGAGATTGCTTATTTTGTTGTAAACGTTTAAGGAGATTCTTGCAAAATTTAGAAAGATAAACAACAAAATAATTAAATAATTAAAAAATAATTATAATAATATTCCTTTAATGGTTATAAAACTTAATCATCAATGTGGGAAAATTCTGAACTGGACCACATAAATCTGGAGTTTCTTCTAAATCTGGGACCAGGTTGCCTCGTGCAAAAATTTTTATAGTACAACTCATCATCTCCTTCCCACTTTGCCCCGTAATGTTTTACTTACAATGTTTTGACATTTTCAGCCTTTTCTTGCTTTACCTTTACGTCTTATTATGGTATAATAGCACAAAATAAACAAGATAACCTTTTTTATAATTCTTAAAACAATAATAATAATAAACAATTTAAAGCACGTCTTAAGAAACTTTTAACATGTGACCTGTCTGTAAATTTTAATTTTAAAATTATTACTTGTTTTTTTTCCCTGCATAATGCTAATGCTAATTTTAGATCTATTATCAAATATTTGATGTATATGTCCTCTTTTAACATATAAAAAAATTTTAATTTGTATCTTTTCCTTGACTTGTGTAAATGTAACTCTACATATTAACATGAATAAAGATTATTATTATTATTATTATTAATAAAACGTAGATATACCTATTTTAAATATATTTTTTAAGTACAATATATTGCAATAGAACTTAACACTATGTACCAGTAAAAAAAACACAAAATTAAATCTCTAAAATACGTTATTACATCAAATGTTAGGATATCAGGTGACACAAATTACTAATTTCTAATGGTAGAATTGGAGATTGTATACTTTGTTGCAAATCTATCAGTGGAGATTGTCGACTTTGCACTAAATGTCATTTTTAAAATAGATTTTAGGCAGGATTTAGCTCCTTTTGCAGCACATAATCTTTATCATCTTATAGATAATTAGTACAGTCTCCGCCAAAAATCTAATTTTTGACCAAAAGTGGAGATTGTCGGTTTTGCTATGATAGGCCTCATATGATTTTTAACCCTTTTTTAAACTCTTTAATTAACTTTTTTGTAATTCTTTTTTAACTCTTTTTATAGGTCTTTTTTTACTCTGTTTTTAGCTCTTTTTAAAACTTTTTTAACTCCTTTTTTAACTAGAACTATCTAAAAATAATGATATAAAATCTTTTCACTGTAAATAGTTATTTCAATTAAAAATAATAACGTTTGAGTTATAGTAAATATGATCTTGGTAGAGCCAAAAAACTTGTGATAACAATAAAACAACATTGTCAAAACGTTAAAATGAAAATAGACGAGAATTTATATTTATTATTTTTAAAGTAACTTATCTACGGACTACGGAAATAAAATTTGTATTTATAACAGAATAGTGCAAAAAAATCTTGTTTAAAAAAATTTTACTGCTCACTAACCGGTAAATTAGTGAAACTCACTGGCGCTGTGGAGTTGTGATTTTTTATCGTGATGGGGATCGTCTGGCCGGCCAGCGTGGTGGCGCTGCTGTAGTTTTGCTCGATCACCCCGGAGAACGAGCCGACGCTGTTCAGGTCGGCGGCGGCGGCGAAGTCCACGCACTTGTTGGTGGTGCACACGTCGGGCGGCGTCTTCTTCAGCAGCGGCCCCAATTCGGCCTCGTACTTGCTCGGACGGTCCGTCACTACTGGCTCGTAGGTCAAGCCTAACAAAAATACGGTTTTTCCTGCTTATATTTCGCTCGAGAATGCATGCTCTTTTTCATTAATTATTATTACTGGAAAAGATCCTTCATTCTTGAGCAAAAATCGCAAAGAAAAACGTGTTATAACATGAGTTAAAATTTTTAATAACAAATTTTGAAAAACTAATACTTCTTGTACGATATATGGGACATTGAAATTTTGAAGCATTACGAAATATGAAAGTAAATTTTAAATATTAGTTTTTAAATTGCATTAAGTTTTAGGAATGAGTTTTCACTTAAAATTCGATACACTATTTGTTTTGTTTATTATGCTATAGTAATTTATGATTCCCGCGTGTACAAAACCTAGATAAGACAGTAGATTTTAGACAGTTACAGTTTGCTGTTTTTTTTCACTTTTTCCATTTTATTTTTTTAACTTTTTTTAACTCTTTTTGTTCGACTCTTTTTTAACTCTTTTTTAAACTCCTTTTAAAACTCTTGCTTTACTCTGTTTCTTAACTCTTCTTTTTTTAACTCTGTTTTTTAAGTCTTTTTTATATCTTTTTAACTCTTTTTTTTCGACTCGTTTTTACTCCTTCTTTAACTTCTTTTTTAACTCCTTTTTTTTAGTAATTTATGATTCTCGCGTGTACAAAACGTAGTTAAGAAAGTAGATTTAAGACAGTTACAGTTTGCTGTTTTTTCCCACTTTTTCCATTTTATTTTTAACTTTTTTTTAACTCTTTTTTTAAACTCTTTTATTTTTAAAATCTTTTTAACTCTTTTTAAACTCTTTTTTCGACTCGTTTTTAACTCCTTTTTTAGTAATTTATGATTCTCGCGTGTACAAAATAATAATAATAATAATATTTATTTGGCAAAAGCTACATACGAAACACAAAGTAAATTAAGATTAAAATTAATAAAATATACAAATGGGTAAGTTTACATTTTTAAAAAACATAACAACATGAGAAATTTTAAAAATATATAAATAAATGTAAAAAGTACAATAACAAACATTAAAACATTATTAACACATATGTTCTAAGTAACATCTTAAATTTTTTAATATTATCACAGACTTTAATATCATTGGGCAATTTATTGAATTCTAAAAGACCTTTATACATAATAGAGTTTAGCATTTGGCTGGTGTTGCACTTATCAGTCAATATAAAATCATTACAATTTCTAGTGTTTATGAGTAGACTTTTTTAAAATATTGTGCTTTCTTACAGATATAATCAGGTAACATTTTATTTTTAACTTTAAACGTAGTTAAGACAGTAGATTTAAGACAGTTACAGTTTGCTGTTTTTTTTCACCTTTTCCATTTTATTTTTAACTTTTTTTTAAATCCTTTTTAACTCTTTTTTTAACTTTTTTTAAGTCTTTTGTTCGACTCTTTTTTAACTCTTTTTAAACCCCTTTTTTAACTCTTGTTTTACTCTGTTTTTTAATTCTTCTTTTTATATCTTTTTTATTTTTTTTTGAACTCTTTTTTCGACTCGTTTTTAACTCCTTGTTTAGTAATTTATGATTCTCGCGTGTACAAAACGTAGTTAAGACAGTAGATTTAAGACAGTTACAGTTTGCTGTTTTTTTTTTCACTTTTTCCATTTTATTTTTAACTTTTTTAATCTTTTTGAACTCTTTTTTTTTAACTTTTTTTTAAGTCTTTTTGTTCGACTCTTTTTTAACTCTTTTTTAAACTCTTTTTTTAACTCTTGTTTTACTTTGTTTTTTAATTCTTCTTTTTTATATCTTTTTTAACTCTTTTTTCAACTCGTTTTAACTCCTTTTTTAGTAATTTATGATTCTCACGTGTACAAAACGTAGATAAGACGGTAGATTTTAGACAGTTACAGTTTGTGGTTTTTTCCACTTTTTCCATTTTATTTTTAACTTTTTTTTAAATCTTTTTTTAACTCTTTCTTTTTTTTTAACTTTTTTTAACTCTTTTTGTTCGACTCTTTTTTAACTCTTTTTTTAAAGTCTTTTTTAATCTTTTTTTAAAGTTTTTTATCACTTTTTTAACTCCCTTTTTAACTTTTTTAAACACTTTTAATTCTTTTTCCAATTCTTTTTTAACTCTTTTTTTTAAACTCTTTTTAAACTCCTATTTAATTTTTTTTACTCTTTTTTTTAAACTGTGTTTTTTTTTAATTCTTTTTAACTCTTTTGTTAACTCTTTTTACTCTTTTTAAAATATTTTAACTCTGTTTTCTTAACTTTTTTAAACTCTTTTCAATTTTTTTTAAACTCTTTTTTTAACTCATTTTTCAACTTAATGATTTTAACTTTTTTTTTCTTCAAATATTTTTTTTTTTAAACTTGTTTAACTCTTTTTTTAAACTCTTTTTAACTATGTTTTTTAACTCTTTTTAAAATCATTTTAAAATCTTTTTTTAACTCTTTTTTTAAATTGTTGTAAGAGAGTGAATTAAACTCTTGAATAACCAAGTTCAATGTTTAAATATAAAATCAGTTTGTGTTATAGTTACCATTACTTTAAACTATATTTTAATATTATTTTATCTTGTTCTTTGTGAAAGAAGAAATGAGCTGGACTTTGTATTTTATGGTTGTGGTTGGACAAACCAAAATACATATTTATTATAATTATTATTTTATATTTATAATTGCTGCTTTTTTGTCATTTAGTTTATAATTTAAATAAATTTAAGTTTAAAACCAATCAACCTAAACTTTAAATGTATTAAATTAAATAAATTAAACTATCTCTCCCCGGTAATCAATCTTTGTCTTCCACCAGAGAATCTCTCAAAATTTAAATAAATTTACAATAAATGTTTATATCGTCTGAAATAAAAACGAGCTCGTGCAGTAAAGCCGGGCTTTAATTCACGTCGTTTTTATTTTTAATTTTACGACGCGATAAAAAAATCATTGCCGGAACATTAGCATACCTCTGGGGGGCGCAGTGTGCCTAACCAGATACTCGCTCGAAAGCCTCTGGTGCTCTCTCAGCTTGCGTTCAGCTCCAGGCACCATTTCTCGGACCTGCAAAATGCAAAAAATGTCATTAGTGTGCGGAGATAATGCGAAAATACACCGGGGAACTATTATTATTATTATTATTATTACACAGCGGATTTGACCATATAATTTTTAATGTTTATTCAAGATTCGACTTCTTGGCGAATGGCATACAACATTTTATCTTCAAAGCATTTTATATAGGTAAATTTAATTCAACATCAAAGCGGCCTAACCTCACTTTTTTAGAATCTCATTTATTTATTAGCTAAAGATTACATTAAATGTACAATAATTATTATTGCTTTTAGAAGCAGTAATAGTTTGACAATACCTAGCTACATGATTTAAGTAGAAATGGATTTTTGCTATTACATTGAATTCAATTAATTGTTTAATAAATAGGTAGGTATCTAATTTCAATTTGTTTGAATTTTTATTTAAAAAATAGGTAGTTTGGAATGTTTAAGCAGTGTTTAACATTTAATTTCACTGAAAACTTAAAGCAAATTAAAACTTAAAGATAATTTAAATCGTAGAAAAAGAATCGTGCGTTTTCTTGGTTGCCTAACCTCACTTTTTGTTTTATTATTCATATTTAATTTTACAATAATTTAATGAAAAATATTAAACATTAACAGTAAAACAAACAAATTAGTGCTTATTATAAATATAATTTGTCAAAACAATACCCCTAGCGAGAAAAAATCGAACTAAATACTTGCCTCATAAAAATTTTTATCGGCCTAGGCCATAACAAGGTATTTCTTTATCGAATGTTGACAACAATAAAGTTTAAATTATAGACCGCGTGGAGATAAAATATATTATATTTATTTTTCTTACCATTTCGTCGACATTCGGAAACCGATTCAGGTACCCGGACAAGGAGAAAGCAGCCGCCATTTTCGTCATGATAAAGGCTATTCCGGCGGTAAAAAAGCACCACCCGTATCGGTATTCGTACTGTGTCGTGCCGTTGTACGTTTTGTGATATTGGGTGATTTCTAGAAGGGTTTCTGACAGGGTCGAGGCGAATATAACCAGACCCAGGCCGAGGGACAAGCCTGTAACAAATAGAAATTATCAAAATTAATCGACGAACTCTTTTTTTCGGTTGAACACTCCCGTTTGCAGTAAACTGCTTGACTGTACGGTGAAATGAAGTACGTGATCGAATTTTATCCGGAAAACGCTGAGCGTAGATATTAACAGCATCATCAAGATTCCTGCCTGCTTCTCCATAAATCAAAATCATTTCTATTTTTTCTTCCACTGTTAAAAAATCCATTGTGAATAACTGCTTAACGAAAGGAGGTCTTTTTGTTTGCAAATTAATCTTCGAACTAAATTGATTAAATAATGCTAAACTATGTATAAATAGTTTCTTTATACCTCAATAATAATTATAATTTATTTTAACTAAATACCATTTTTTTATGCCTCATTTAGGATTAAATTAATTAATTGACAAAATAATGATTTTTTTACTATTAATAGGGCATTTGATAACCCATTTTATAAAACTTTTCCCTCATAAAAACATGTTTCGAGCAGCTTCAGATAAAATCAAAACATATATTTCTGGGAATTCTTTATTTTTCTAGTGCAAGTATAGAGAGAGGCATTATTTCAATTTTTCGTTTTTCCCCGTCGCAGACTTAGCGTCTCTCTTGATTCTTTAGCTAAAAGAAATACAAGAAAAGAAGGATTGTAAATCTGAAAATCCCCAAGTAAATCCTCCGTTCGCTAGCAGTGGCCACACCTAAGCTACGGCACAACTTATCAAAGCTCTACCGTGTACCCCACCCTTTCCTTTATTTCTTTAGCAAGATTTAACTGAAAGGGTGGGTAAACCCAGGGATCATCCAATCTTCCATATCCATGATAATTAAAGAAGTTCGAATAAAAAAGTTATTTTTCATGTTTAAGGTAGGGGTAAAAATATTAGAGTTGATTTGTAACTGTAAAAGTTACACTACAAAATACACTAGGTAGCATTTAGTGATTATTAACTTTATTAAACACATTTAAAGAATATGAACATTATTCATTGGTACATTCACACTATTTCTATTAAAATAAATCCAAAGGGTAGAAAAACTTAATACGAGTGTTTATTACGATTACCGGCCACTTTCCCGAAAGTCATTTTCCCGACAGACCAATTTCCCGACAGACCATTTTCCCGACACACGATTTTCCCGACAAGATTTTTCCCGACACCATTTTCCCGAAAGTCGTTTTCCCGAAAGTCGTTTTCCCGACAAGCCATTTTCCTGACAAGCCATTTTCCCGACAAGTCATTTTTAAGACAAATAATTTTTACCACAAACGACACAATAATATTATATTTATACAGAGTGACGTCATCCAATGACGCAATCTTAGGACGAGAAGCAGATTTTTTTTCCTTAACCAACGTCCCGAGTCCGCCCGCTTCAAAACCAACCCAAACCCAACAACCCAACCCAACCGACCCCGCCCCATTGGCCCTTACAGAATTCCAGAAGGAACAAGCGGATACCGAAATCATTTTTGACCAGGTATGTTTTTCTTTACTAGATAATAAAACTTTTGTCGTGAACATAATCATTCGGGAAAAGGGCTATCGGGAAAAACGTTTCTTAACTGGATAATAAGATTTTTGTCGTGAACATAGTCTGTCGGGAAGAGTGCTGTCGGGAAAAACGTCGTCGGGAAAATGGTTTGTCGGGAAAATGGTCTATCGGGAAATTGGTCAGTCGGGAAATTGCATTCGGGAAAGTGACCGGGAACCGTTTATTACCCCTTAATGTGTTAAATAGTGACAACATGCATGTGCATGTACATGTACACTACAGTGCATGCCAATTTCTTTGTCTGTTTTGATGTTACTAAGAGCTCTTTTTTCTTTACACTACTAGTGCACATTGTATCACAATTAAAGTTAAATTACACCAATAGTGGCAAAATACACTGAAAAAATTGGTAATAACCGAAATGCGTTTTAAAATGTTTGGTTGGTACCTATCTACCTACGCAGTGCATATCCGGAGATACCGCGTTGTGGAAGTGTGGCATTTTTGTTCAGTTAGAATTTAATTACGGTGAATCCATAAGGGGACATTCTTATTTTTTGGTAAGTATTATACTTCCTTTTTCTTTAAGCCTTAATACTCAATAAATACCAATATGTTAAAAGGATGTCCATACCCGACCTATATTATATATCAATAATTTACGGCCGTAGGTCGGGTACTTGTAACATTAATAATATAAATATATACACACTTGATTTACTTTTATTTTCAAGCGTAATGGTTGTTATATTAACCTATACCTACATTTTTATTAATATTATGGAAAATTTGTACACGTGTGGTAAATCCCCGACATACAGCCGCCTGACGCCTCTCTACCAATGGGATCACCCATTTTTTATAACAGAAAAATGGATTACTGATGAATTCTCAAGATAATCCATTGCTTACAAGTTGACACCCAGTAAAACATTGCATTGATCTAAAACTTTTACGTTTTAAGGAACCATTTTGCTTAAGCCAGCCATACGACTCAAATATAAAATTATATTTTAAAAGGCACCGATTTTGATAATTGTCATAGATTTTTGTTCCAAATAAATGTTTCTCTTTATTTACCTTTTCGTTTTATTTACTACCACCAATAATAGGTTTTACTCAAATAATAGTGTTAATTTACACTAGAAGTTTGCACTAAAAGAGTAAAAGTACCTTTCTAAAATTAGAACTTTTCCAAAGTAGTTCCAAAGTTTATCCTCAGTGCTATAGTGTTAAATCATACTTGCTTACTTGGGAAAAATTACACTACAAATTAACTCTAATTTTAGTGTTATAAAACAGCACTATTTATTGTGGACCTGTGTGAACTCTAATTAGTGTTGCTTAGAGTTGATTTTTTTACTGTGTATGTATGTTACTTTATTAGTCTAAGTACATCGCCTTATAAACATTTTTGGAGTAAAAAAGTGACGTTTTTGGTTTTACAAATATTAAATCAAACATTTAATAGCGCAACGTCATCAGCCATGCGTTGTCTTACAGCTTTCAAACTCTAACGTTGATAGCAACAAAAGTAAAAAACACAATGTAAAAATATAACCTTTTATTTTACCACATAAAGTTAAGTAAAAGTCGCCGGAATAATATGAACTGTCACTTATTTTTTACGTTTATAGTCTTAACTTTTAGCTTTGTACTGTTTCCTTTTACCATAAAAAGCAGTGTGCGTTTTATCACTCGTATATGGTAAATTCGAATAAATAAAACAATAAAACATAAAAGCCAGACGGAATGGACCATTTTTATGTCATAAAACACAGCTGGCACATATTATTGTCATATACATTTTTCTGTGATATATGCGTTTTGCAGAAAAGATACGCCCATAAAATAAAAGATAATAAAAAAGTCGAGCTTTTCGTTGTTTTTCTGTGTTAATAAGCTTCTATGAAGGTCATGGAATTATCATAAACTGATTCTAATATAAAAATATAATACTTTAAAAAAAAAAAATTATATCCAAAGAAAGCACTAAACCTCGGTATTTTCCACAGCGATGAGATGCCTTGTTCTGATTGGTTAAATGCTTTTTTCTTCAAATTTATTAAAAGTTTTTTAAATAAGAAAATACAATCTAAAAATATTTTATTATTTTGGCAATTTTGGTACCACTAAAACCAATTATGTAGTTATTTACTTCGTAAAACATTTTAATTGAAATTTAATATTTAATATCGAGTAAAATGTAATCGACAGCAAATTTCTTAATCAATAAACTTATTACTCGCCTTTCTATAAATACTGACTTCTTCTTAAAAATGTTTCCAGATATAAAAATTAACTAAAATCAAATTTTTTTAACTAAATAAAAATTGTTGAAAATTTAAGACATAAACTTCAACAATTATGAACGTGGTCAGAACAATCATTACTTAAATACATAGTGTTATTTTACGCCAATATTTACCCGTAAATATGTTGAATTTAGACAAA